GGACCCCGATGGCCACGGTGACCTCCTCCTCCTCCATCACCCCGGAGACAACCAATCGGCCACCGCGGGGACCCCGATGGCCACGGTGACCTCCTCCCCCACGGGATGTCCTCGAGGCCGAGATGTCCCGGTGGCCGAGCGCTATAGGACGCCCTCCATGAAGCTGGTGTCCAGGTGCTGGATGAGGACGCGGATGAAGGACATCTCCTTGCGCGTGTTCTCGAAGATGACCCGCGGGTCGTCCGACTGGCAGCGCAGGCAGTTGGGGGCCATCACCATGGCCAGGTTGTTGACGTCCATCTTGGTGACGGCCACGTTGGCCGGTTGGACGAAGACCTGCAGGGTGGAGAAAGGTTGGTGGGACACGGGTGGAGGGATCATCGGGAGGTTCTGGTTCTTGGTGGAGATGGAGAACCCAAAACCACCTGGAGATAACCAGGAGGGTCATGGACATCTGGGGTGGGAGGAGATGATGGAGGTGATGGGATTGGTGGAGCTCCTGGTTCTTGAGTGAGGTGGGGTCACCATGTGGTGACCTTGGAGAACCCAAAACCACCTTGAGATAACCAGGAGGGTCATGGACATCTGGGGTGGGAGGAGATGATGGGATTGGTGGAGATGGGTGGAGGGACCATTGGGAGGTTCTGCTTCTTAGTGGAGATGGAGAACCCAAAACCACCTCGAGATAACCAGGAGGGTCACCAGGGTCATGAAGTAATGGGATAGAAGGAGGAAGATGGAGGTGATGGGATTCATGGAGCTCCTGGTTCTTGGAGGAGATGGGGTCACCATGTGGTGACCTTGGAGAACCCAAAACCACCTTGAGATAACCAGGAAGGTCATGGACATCTGGGGTGGGAGGAGATGATGGGATGGAGGTGATGGGGTTGGTGGGAAATGGATGGAAGGACCATGGGGAGGTTCTGGTTCTTGGTGGAGATGGAGAATCCAAAACCACCTCGAGATAACCAGGAGAGTCATGGACATCTGGGGTGGGAGATGATGGAGGTGATGGGATTGGTGGAGGTTATGGTTCTTGAGTGAGATGGGATCATCACGTGGTGACCTTGGAGAACCCAAAACCACCTCGAGATAACCAGGAGGGTCATGGACATCTGGGGTGGCAGGAGATGATGGGATTGATGGGAGATGGGTGGAGGGACCATGGGAAGGTTCTGGTTCTTGGTGGAGATGGAGAACCCAAAACCACCTTGAGATAACCAGGAGGGTCATGGACATGTGGGGTGGGTGGAGATGATGGGATTGGTGGGAGATGGGTGGAGGAATGGTTGGAGGAACCATGTGGAACTTCTGGTTCTTGGAGGAGATGGGGTCACCATGTGGTCACCTTGGAGAACCCAAAACCACCTGGAGATAACCAGGAGGGTTATGAACATCTGGGGTGGGAGGAGATGATGGGATTGGTGGGAGATGGGTGGAAGGAAGTTCTGGATTTTGGTGGAGATGGGGTCACCACGTGGTGACCTTGGAGAACCCAAAACCACCTGGAGATAACCAGGAGGGTCATGGATATCTGGGGTGGGAGGAGATGGTGGGATTGGTGGAGATGGAGAGCCCAAAACCACCTTGAGATAAACAGGAGGGTCATGGATATCTGAGCTGGGAGGAGATGATGGAGGTGATGGGATTGGTGGAGGTTCTGGTTCTTGGGAGGAGATGGGGTCACCATGTGGTCACGTTGGAGAACCCAAAACCACCTCAGGAGATAACCAGGAGAGTCATGAACATCTGTGATGGAGATGATGGAGGTGATGGGAGATGGGTGGAAGGAAGTTCTGGATGTTGGTGGAGATGGGGTCACCATATGGTGACCTTGGAGAACCCAAAACCACCTTAGGAGAACCTGAAGGGTCACTGGGGCACGAAATGATAGAAGGAGAAAGATGGAGATGATGGGGTTGGTGGAACATGGGGTGGAGAAACCCCATGGACCTCCTGGTTCTTGGAGAACCCAAAACCATCTCAGGAGAACCAGGAGGTCATAAAAACCTGGGGTGGGTGGAAATGATGGGATTGGTGGGAGATGGGTGGAAGGAAGTTCTGGATGTTGGTGGAGATGGGGTCACCATGTGGTGACCTTGGAGAACCCAAAACCACCTCAGGAGATAACCAGAGGGTCATGAACATCTGGAGTGGGAGGAGATGATGGGATGGAGGTGATGGGTGGAAGGACCACATGGAGCTCCTGGCTCTTGGAGGAGATGGGGTCACGACGTGGTGACCTTGGAGAACCCAAAACCACCTCGAGATAACCAGGAAGGTCACCAGGGTCATGAAATGATGGGATGGAAGGAGGAAGATGGAAGTGATGGGATTGATGGAGCTCCTGGTTCTTGGAGGAGATGAGGTCACCACGTGGTGACCTTGGAGAACCCAAAACCACCTTAGGAGAACCAGGAGGGTCACCAGGAACATGAAATGATGGGATGGAAGCAGAACAATGGAGGTGATGGTGTAGGTGGAACATGGGGTGGAAGAAC